ACTACCACTACAAACCACTATAATAATACTACTATACCCTACTACTTACCACTACTACTACCACTACAACTACCACTACTACTACCACTACTACTACCACTACTACTACCACTACTACTACCACTACTACTACCACTACTACTACCTCTACAACTACCACTACTACTACCACTACTATTACTACTACTACTACTACTACTACTACTACTACCACTACAACTACGACTTCTACTGCCACTACTACTAACACTACTACTACTACCACTACTACTACCACTACTATTACCACTACTACTACCACTACTACTACTACTACAACAACCACTGCTACTACCACTACTACTACTACCACTACTACTATCACTACTACTACCACTACAACTACAACTACTACTACCACTACTACTACCACTACTACTACCACTACTACTACTACCACTACTGCTACCACTAGTACTACTACTACTTCCACTACAACTACCACTACAACTACCACTACAACTACCTCTACAACTACCACTACAACTACCACTACTACTACTACCACTACTACTACCACTACTACTACCACCACTACTAACACTACCTCTACAACTCCCACTACTACTACCACTACTAATACCACTACTACTACTACCACTATAACTACCACTACTACTACCACTACAACTACCACTACAACTACCACTACAACTACCACTACAACTACCACTACAACTACCACTAATACTACCACTACTACTACCACTACTACTACTATCACTACAACTACCACTACTACTACCACTACTACTACTACTACCACTACTTCTACCACTACTACTACCACTACTACTACCACTACAACTACCACTACTACTACCACTACTACTACCACTACTACTACCACAAATACTACCACTACTACTACCACTACTACTACTACCACTAATTCTAACACTACTACTACCACTACTACTACCATTACAACTACAACTACTACTACCACTACTACTACTACCACTAGTACTACCACTACAACTACCACTAATACTAACACTACTACTACCACTACTACTACCATTACAACTACCACTACTACTACCACTACTACTACTACTACTACTACCACTACTACCACCACTACAACTACCACTCTGGACTGACACAGTGGTATATACACTGCACCTTGATGCAACACTTCAACACACTCCTCAGAGCTCGGCCACTTCACTTCTATACCAACACTGTACATGTCACTCGGGTCCCTACCTGCCTTGGTCATGGACGGGACACTGTTTTACGAACGACGTAATGAGTAGTGGATTTTACCTGGCCTCTCTAGTTAATTAATTATACCTGAAGGTTTTGGTTGCTTGGGCTCGTGTTGAGATCAGGAAAGGACGATCATTATCTTATGCTCTCATTATTAATGACTTAGCCGAATGTCGTCAGTCATTATAGCCCGCAATGTCTTCGACAAACACAGTCCACTCCTGGAGTATGGCTTCCAGCTTAAGTCCAGAAAGTCCAGTGGTAGCTTAAGTGATCACACGTTACAGCTCACAATAAACAAAGATACTGGGTCTTCTATCAGGGGATTGCATTTAACAAGGCTCCCTAGTTGAGTAATTACGACCCCCCCAAATTTCTTTTTTCTTTTCCCTTTCTTTCCTTTCTTCTCTCTTTCTCTCTTCTCCAGTCTCTCCTCCTCTCTCCTTCTCTCTCTGTCTCTTCTCTCTCTCTCTCTACTCTCTCTCTCCTCTCTCCCCTCCCCCCTCTCTCTCTCTCCTTCTCTCTTCTCTCTCTCCACTCTCAGTCTCATCTCTCATCCTCCTCTCTATCGTCTCTCCTCTCCTCTGTCTCACTCTCTCTCTCGTCTCTCTGTCATCTCTGCTCCTCTCTCTCGTCTCGTCTCTCTGTCTCTCTCTCTCTATCTCCATCTCTGTCTCCCCTCTCTCTCTGTCTCTCTGCTCTCTGTCTCTCCTCTCTCTGTCTCTCATGTCCTCTCTCTCCATCTGTCCTCTCCTGCTCTCTGTCTCTCTGTCTCTCTACTCTCTCTCTGTCTCTCTCATCTCTCTCTCTGCTCTCTCTCTCTCATCTGCTCTCTTCTTCTTTCAGGCTCTTGTCTCTCTCTTCTCTCAATATGTTCTTTCTCCTTTCTCTCATTCTTTCTCAGATCTTTTCTCTCTTCCCCCTTTCTCCTCTTCTCTCTCTATCTCTCTTGCTGAGTGGACCTGGTTCAAGAGTGTTACTGATAGTGTTGCTGTGTTACAGAGTGTTACTGATAGTGTTGTTGTGTTACAGAGTGTTGCTGAGTGGACCTGGTTCAGAGAGTGTTGCTGATAGTGTTGTTGTGTTACAGAGTGTTGCTGAGTGGACCTGGTTCAGAGAGTGTTGCTGATAGTGTTGTTGTGTTAACAGAGTGTTGCTGAGTGGACCTGGTTCAGAGAGTGTTGCTGAAGTGTTGCTGTGTTACAGAGTGTTGCTGATGGACCTGGTTCAGAGAGTGTTGCTGATAGTGTTGTTGTGTTACAGAGTGTTGCTGATGGACCTGGTTCAGAGAGTGTTGCTGATAGTGTTGCTGTGTTACAGAGTGTTGCTGAGTGGACCTGGTTCAGAGAGTGTTGCTGATAGTGTTGTTGTGTTACAGAGTGTTGCTGAGTGGACCTGGTTCAGAGAGTGTTGCTGATAGTGTTGTTGTGTTACAGAGTGTTGCTGAGGTGGACCTGGTTCAGAGAGTGTTGCTGATAGTGTTGCTGTGTTACAGAGTGTTGCTGAGTGGACCTGGTTCAGAGAGTGTTTGCTGATAGTGTTGTTGTGTTACAGAGTGTTGCTGAGTGGACCTGGTTCAGAGAGTGTTGCTGATAGTGTTGCTGTGTTACAGAGTGTTGCTGAGTGGACCTGGTTCAGAGAGTGTTGCTGATAGTGTTGTTGTGTTACAGAGTGCTGCTGAGTGGACCTGGTTCAGATAGTGTTGCTGATAGTGTTGTTGTGTTACAGAGTGTTGCTGAGTGGACCTGGTTCAGATAGTGTTGCTGATAGTGTTGCTGATAGTGTTGATGTGTTACAGAGTGTTGCTGAGTGGACCTGGTTCAGATAGTGTTGCTGATAGTGTTGCTGTGTTACAGAGTGTTGCTGAGTGGACCTGGTTCAGAGAGTGTTGCTGATAGTGTTGTTGTGTTACAGAGTGTTGCTGAGTGGACCTGGTTCAGAGAGTGTTGCTGATAGTGTTGTTGTGTTACAGAGTGTTGCTGAGTGGACCTGGTTCAGAGAGTGTTGCTGATAGTGTTGCTGTGTTACAGAGTGTTGCTGAGTGGACCTGGTTCAGATAGTGTTGCTGATAGTGTTGCTGTGTTACAGAGTGTTGCTGAGTGGACCTGGTTCAGAGAGTGTTGCTGATAGTGTTGTTGTGTTACAGAGTGTTGCTGAGTGGACCTGGTTCAGAGAGTGTTGCTGATAGTGTTGCTGTGTTACAGAGTGTTGCTGAGTGGACCTGGTTCAGAGAGTGTTGCTGATAGTGTTGTTGTGTTACAGAGTGTTGCTGAGTGGACCTGGTTCAGATAGTGTTGCTGATAGTGTTGCTGTGTTACAGAGTGTTGCTGAGTGGACCTGGTTCAGATAGTGTTGCTGATAGTGTTGTTGTGTTACAGAGTGTTGCTGAGTGGACCTGTTCAGATAGTGTTGCTGATAGTGTTGCTGTGTTACAGAGTGTTGCTGAGTGGACCTGGTTCAGATAGTGTTGCTGATAGTGTTGCTGTGTTACAGAGTGTTGCTGAGTGGACCTGGTTCAGATAGTGTTGCTGATAGTGTTGCTGTGTTACAGAGTGTTGCTGAGTGGACCATGGTTCAGATAGTGTTGCTATAGTGTTGCGTGTTACAGAGTGTTGCTGAGTGGACCTGTTCAGATAGTGTTGCTGATAGTGTTGCTGTGTTACAGAGTGTTGCGAGTGGACTGGTTCAGATAGTGTTGCTGATAGTGTTGCTGTGTTACAGAGTGTTGCTGAGTGGACCTGGTTCAGAGAGTGTTGCTGATAGTGTTGTTGTGTTACAGAGTGCTGCTGAGTGGACCTGGTTCAGAGAGTGTTGCTGATAGTGTTGTGGTTACAGAGTGTTGCTGAGTGGACCTGCTTCAGAGAGTGTTGCTGATAGTGTTGCTGTGTTACAGAGTGTTGCTGAGTGGACCTGCTTCAGAGAGTGTTGCTGATAGTGTTGCTGTGTTACAGAGTGTTGCTGAGTGGACCTGGTTCAGAGAGTGTTGCTGATAGTGTTGCTGTGTTACAGAGTGTTGCTGAGTGGACCTGGTTCAGAGAGTGTTGCTGTGTTACAGAGTGTTGCTGAGTGGACCTGGTTCAGATAGTGTTGCTGATAGTGTTGCTGTGTTACAGAGTGTTGCTGAGTGGACCTGGTTCAGAGAGTGTTGCTGATAGTGTTGTTGTGTTACAGAGTGTTGCTGAGTGGACCTGGTTCAGAGAGTGTTGCTGATATGTGTTGTTGTGTTACAGAGTGTTGCTGAGTGGACCTGGTTCAGAGAGTGTTGCTGATAGTGTTGTTGTGTTACAGAGTGTTGCTGAGTGGACCTGGTTCAGAGAGTGTTGCAGATAGTGTTGTTGTGTTTCAAGTGTTGCTGAGTGGACCTGGTCAGAGAGTGTTGCTGAAGTGTTGTTGTGTTACAGAGTGTTGCTGAGTGGACCTGGTTCAGAGAGTGTTGCTGATAGTGTTGTTGTGTTACAGAGTGTTGCTGAGTGGACCTGGTTCAGAGAGTGTTGCTGATAGTGTTGTTGTGTTACAGAGTGTTGCTGAGTGGACCTGGTTCAGAGAGTGTTGCTGATAGTGTTGTTGTGTTTCAGAGTGTTGCTGAGTGGACCTGGTTCAGAGAGTGTTGCTGATAGTGTTGTGTTACAGAGTGTTGCTGAGTGGACCTGGTTCAGAGAGTGTTGCTGATAGTGTTGTTGTGTTTCAGAGTGTTGCTGAGTGGACCTGATTCAGAGAGTGTTGCTGATAGTGTTGTTGTGTTTCAGAGTGTTGCTGAGTGGACCTGGTTCAGAGAGTGGCTCCACCAGTAGCAACACAAGAACCAGGGCCACACACAACTTCCTGGGCCGCACTCTCAAGCGTCGACGACCCAGGTAAGTCACTCCTGGCTCACAACCCAAGATCCCGGGGTTAACCCCGGGCGCGGGGTTACGAAGTACGGCTTCTGACTTCACTGGTAGCGCCCTCGGCTCACAATGGAAGCACCCGGGCTCGATCCCAGGAGGAACTCTGTTTCGTTACACCTCCTGCCCCTCCTATCCCAGTGATTAATAATCCAGAATTATATTAACCAATAGTGAATAATAATCTAGGATTATATTAACCCCTAGTGATTAATAATATGGAATTATATTAATTAGTGATTAATAATATAGAATTATATTAACTACTAGTTATTAATAATCTAGAATTATATTAACCAGCTGTCATGAAATAATCTACTAGTTATTATTTAGAATTATATTAACCAGTCGGTATTAATTATTCAGAGTTAATTGTATTACTATCGCTCCAGGGTTAATAATCCTGGATTATCCTGGGTTAATAATCCTGGATTATCCTGAGTTAATAATCCTCATGGGTTATTTTTTATTAATATCTTGGTGAATTATCTCTTAATGAATAATAATAATCTTGGGACTGCCTGGATAATCCTACAAGACACATTATCCTTGGTTATTCTCTTCTATTTCCTCTCTGGAGGTAATAATCCTGAATTATCCTGACTTCATAACCCTCTGGAGGTAATAATCCTGAATTATCCTGACTTCATAACTCTCTGGAGGTAATAATCCTGAATTATCCTGACTTAATAACTCTCTGGAGGTAATATTCCTGAATTATCCTGACTTAATAACTCTCTGGAGGTAATAATCCTGAATTATCCTGACTTAATAACTCTCTGGAGGTAATAATCCTGAATTATCCCGACTTAATAACTCTCTGGAGGTAATATTCCTGAATTATCCTGACTTAATAACTCTCTGGAGGTAATATTCCTGAATTATCCTGACTTAATAACTCTCTGGAGGTAATAATCCTGAATTATCCTGACTTAATAACTCTCTGGAGGTAATAATCCTGAATTATCCTGACTTAATAACTCTCTGGAGGTAATATTCCTGAATTATCCCGACTTAATAATTCTCTGGAGGTAATATTCCTGAATTATCCTGACTTAATAACTCTCTGGAGGTAATAATCCTGAATTATCCCGACTTAATAATTCTCTGGAGGTAATATTCCTGAATTATCCTGACTTAATAACTCTCTGGAGGTAATATTCCTGAATTATCCCGACTTAATAATTCTCTGGAGGTAATATTCCTGAATTATCCTGACTTAATAACTCTCTGGAGGTAATAATCCTGAATTATCCCGACTTAATAACTCTCTGGAGGTAATATTCCTGAATTATCCTGACTTAATAACTCTCTGGAGGTAATATTCCTGAATTATCCTGACTTAATAACTCTCTGGAGGCAATAATCCTGAATTATCCTGACTTAATAACTCTCTGGAGGTAATAATCCTGAATTATCCCGACTTAATAACTCTCTGGAGGTAATATTCCTGAATTATCCTGACTGAATAACTCTCTGGAGGCAATAATCCTGAATTATCTTGACTTAACTCTCTGGAGGTAATAATATAGGATAAACTTGGATTATTACCTCTCTGGGGGATAACGATCTTGGATTAACCTGAGTTAACCCTCTACAGCTAATATTCTTGGATAACCCCGGGTTATTAACACTTTGAATTATCCTGGATTATCACCTCTCTGTAGGTAATAATACTGTGTTATCCGGAGTTATTAATACTCTAGTAAATATCCATGGGTAAGTGTTTACTCTCTGAGAGTAATAGTCTAGTTAAATATTATCTGACGTTGATAATCCTGGGTTATTAATGTGTTAGTGTTCTCGGGTTATCCTGGGTTATTAATGTGCTAGTGTTCTCGGGTTATCCTGGGTTATTAATGTGTAGTGTTCTCGGGTTATCCTGGGTTATTAATGTGGTTTAGTGTTCTCGGTTATCCTGGGTTATTAATGTGTTAGTGTTCTCGGGTTATCCTGGGTTATTAATGTGTTAGTGTTCTCGGGTTATCCTGGGTTATTAATGTGTTAGTGTTCTCGGGTTATCCTGGGTTATTAATGTGTTAGTGTTCTCGGGTTATCCTGGGTTATTAATGTGCTAGTGTTCTCGGGTTATCCTGGGTTATTAATGGGCTAGTATTCTCAGGTTATCCTGGGTTATTAATGGGCTAGTATTCTCGGGTTATCCTGGGTTATTAATGGGCTAGTATTCTCGGGTTATCCTGGGTTATTAATGGGCTAGTATTCTCAGGTTATCCTGGGTTATTAATGGGCTAGTATTCTCGGGTTATCCTGGGTTATTAATATGCTAGTATTCTTGGGTTATCCTGGGTTATTAATGGGCTAGTATTCTCGGGTTATCCTGGGTTATTAATGGGCTAGTATTCTCGGGTTATCCTGGGTTATTAATATGTTAGTATTCTCGGGTTATCCTGGGTTATTAATAGGCTAGTATTCTCGGGTTATCCTGGGTTATTAATGGGCTAGTATTCTCGGGTTATCCTGGGTTATTAATGGGCTAGTATTCTCGGGTTATCCTGGGTTAATAATATGTTAGTATTCTCGGGTTATCCTGGGTTATTAATATGCTAGTATTCTTGGGTTATCCTGGGTTATTAATAGGCTAGTATTCTCGGGTTATCCTGGGTTATTAATGGGCTAGTATTCTCGGGTTATCCTGGGTTATTAATAGGCTAGTATTCTCGGGTTATCCTGGGTTATTAATAGGCTAGTATTCTCGGGTTATCCTGGGTTATTAATGGGCTAGTATTCTCGGATTATCCTAGGTTATTAATATGCTAGTATTCTCGGGTTATCCTGGGTTACTAATGGGCTAGTATTCTCGGGTTATCCTGGGTTATTAATAGGCTAGTATTCTCGGGTTATCCTGCGTTATTAATGGGCTAGTATTCTCGGGTTATCCTGGGTTATTAATGGGCTAGTATTCTCGGGTTATTCTGGGTTATTAATGGGCTAGTATTCTCGGGTTATCCTGGGTTATTAATGGGCTAGTATTCTCGGGTTATTCTGGGTTATTAATGGGCTAGTATTCTCGGGTTATCCTGGGTTATTAATGGGCTAGTATTCTCGGTTATCCTGGGTTATTAATGTGCTAGTATTCTCGGGTTATCCTGGGTTATTAATGGGCTAGTATTCTTGGGTTATCCTGGGTTATTAATGGGCTAGTATTCTCGGGTTATCCTGGGTTATTAATGGGCTAGTATTCTCGGGTTATCCTGGGTTATTAATGTGCTAGTATTCTCGGGTTATCCTGGGTTATTAATGGGCTAGTATTCTTGGGTTATCCTGGGTTATTAATGTGCTAGTGTTCTCGGGTTATCCTGGGTTATTAATGGGCTAGTATTCTCGGGTTATCCTGCGTTATTAATGGGCTAGTATTCTCGGGTTATCCTGGGTTATTAATGTGCTAGTGTTCTCGGGTTATCCTGGGTTATTAATGGGCTAGTATTCTCGGGTTATCCTGCGTTATTAATGGGCTAGTATTCTCGGGTTATCCTGGGTTATTAATGTGCTAGTATTCTCGGGTTATCCTGGGTTATTAATGTGCTAGTATTCTCGGGTTATCCTGGGTTATTAATGGGCTAGTATTCTCGGGTTATCCTGGGTTATTAATGTGCTAGTATTCTCGGGTTATCCTGGGTTATTAATGGGCTAGTATTCTTGGGTTATCCTGGGTTATTAATGGGCTAGTATTCTCGGGTTATTCTGGGTTATTAATGGGCTAGTATTCTCGGGTTATCCTGGGTTATTAATGTGCTAGTATTCTCGGGTTATCCTGGGTTATTAATGGGCTAGTATTCTCGGGTTATCTCTGGTAATTAACTCTGAACCTTAATATTCCTGGGTTATCCTGGGTTGCTGAAGCTGTGGGCTGGGTTACACTGGTACTGTTGGTCAGGATCCCAATGGAAGTCAGTCAGTCTGTCTGACTTTTCCGGGTTATCCCAGGTACTTTACACATATGCTGTTATGTATGATAATCTATGTAACTGTATTTGTGCATACCTGAATAAACTTACTTACTTACTTACTTACTTACTTACTTACTTACTTACTTACTTACTTACTTACTTACTTACTTACTTACTAGGTCTAACACGGCTGGCAGTGAGGAGGCAGCGTTGACGACCTCACACACTCGTGTGGTCACTACTGCTCTCTACGGTGACTACAATATTTCCAAGGATCAGCTGGCCAAGGTAAACAACACACAACTACAACACCGTGACTACAACAATACAGAAATAACCTGCACACAGGAGAGAGAAACTTACCACTACGTTTCGGTCCGACTTAGACCATTTACAAGTAACACTGACACACGAAGGTAAGGGAGCCAGTATTTATAGGAGAGTGGAACAGAGAAGTCTCCTATAACTACTGGCTCCCTTACCTGCGTGTGTTAGTGTTACCTGTAAATGGTCCAAGTTGGATCGAAACGTAGTGGTAAGTTTCTCTCCCCAATGTGTACGGGGTATTTGTGCATGGCTAAGGTAAGATTACCCTCCCGGGTAGCTCCCCTGATCAGCGGGACGGGAGTTACCTGATTCACTTAAGATTCTGTCATGATATACTTTCTTATTCTCTGATTGTTTATCTGAGGTAATATTGTTAACATTGCTCATTTTTTGCTCTCTCTCTCCCCTTTTCTCTGGTCACTAATTATGTGACCTGGCTGCTGGTGTGGCCTGGCTGCTGGTGTGTCCTGGCTGCTGGTGTGTCCTGGCTGCTGGTGTATCCTGGCTGCTGGTGTGTCCTGGCTGCTGGTGTGTCCTGGCTGCTGGTGTGTCCTGGCTGCTGGTGTGGCCTGGCTGCTGGTGTGGCCTGGCTGCTGGTGTGTCCTGGCTGCTGGTGTGGCCTGGCTGCTGGTGTGTCCTGGCTGCTGGTGTGTCCTGGCTGCTGGTGTGTCCTGGCTGCTGGTGTGGCCTGGCTGCTGGTGTGTCCTGGCTGCTGGTGTGGCCTGGCTGCTGGTGTGTCCTGGCTGCTGGTGTGGCCTGGCTGCTGGTGTGTCCTGGCTGCTGGTGTGGCCTGGCTGCTGGTGTGTCCTGGATGCTGGTGTGGCCTGGCTGCTGGTGTGTCCTGGATGCTGGTGTGGCCTGGCTACTGGTGTGTCCTGGCTACTGGTGTGACCTTCCTGGACTGGTGTGTGTGTCACCAGAACGACACAACAATTCGCCTGACAGTGGAGGGTGTTGGTGAGGATGTGAAGGAGACATTGCCACCAGGGGATTACTCCAGCGGGGACGATGTTCACAACCTTAACATAGGATGGAGAGACTTTAACAACGATAATAACACCTACCACAGGAACACTAATACTAACAGGTGTGTGTGTGTGTGTGTGTGTGTGTGTGTGTGTGTGTGTGTGTGTGTGTGTGTGTGTGTGTGTGTGTAGGGCAGCAAATATAAGAATAATAATAATGAAAATAATAATAATAATAGTAATAATAATAATAACACCAGCACAACCAAAATTACTCTAAAAACAATCTTTTTGCTCTAAAATCCACGGACCATATCTTAAGGTTTACTCCTTTACGTTCATTCACGTTCATTCATATTCATTCTCGTTCTTTGACGTTTAGTCACGTTCATTCACGTTCAGTGATTAGATCCTAATTATGTACAGTGCTGATATACGAACGTTTCTTTGCAGCGCCTACAGTCCAAATCTGGGGGCCCTGGGTGCCAGCCGCACTCACGAAGAGATTCTTCGCGCCCTCAAGCTTCTTATAAGCCGACAAGAACGTGAAGACGCAGAGAAGAAACGTCTCAACGAGTGGCGTGTTATTGCTATCGCTGTTGATCGTATCCTCTTCTGGATCTTCTTCATTGTGACCACCGTCAGTTCGGTGGTGTTCCTGGTCATCCTGCCGCTAGTCAAGAGGTCAGAATATGTGCGCAACACCTGAGGTCGCCTGGATGTCCAGCAGCTCGTCCTTGAAGCGCTGTTTGTGTCATCTCCCTCGTTCCAACCATGGCTGCTCTAAACCGGAGTCAGTGTACCTTCCCTCCAGGTGGACCCTGAGGTCTTTCTACTGGGCCGTGCCCTACCACACGTGTTTGTGAACGCTGCTAGAACGTTCACTCCCTCTAGCAATAGAGAGTTGTCCTGGGCCAAGCCCTGATACACGTTTTTGTAAACACTGGTAGAATGTTCACACTAACATATACAGTTGGTTTGTACTGGACAACACCCTGCCACATGTCTTTGTAAAAAAAAAAAAAAACATGGGTAGAATGTTCACTGTAGTATAGACAGTTGGTTTGAAAGGCGGCATGCCGACAGGTGTAGACACAAACATATGCACACAGAACAGTCCTCGATTTGGTTAACTATTACGTCTAACTAGAGCACTTCTCAGTTAGCGGAGAACTGCGCTTAGAGTGACACCTTGACCAAGGAAATGCTTTGTAAACGTTTTTCTAGTTGTCCACGATCATAGGCACTTGTTTCCTGTTACCGTCAGAACCGAGATGTTCCCGTCACACTCGCTGAAGACTTGTCCGTCAAGAGTGGTCACGGTCCAGAGAGTTAACAAGAGGTTTTACTGACCTGCCAAACACAAAAGCTCACTTTGTTTGTAGCTGGGGCCGGCAGGACGGGCCGTGGTTGTAAGCGAGTCTACTCTGTGATAATGGGTTCCAGGTCCCCTACGACTGGCGTCAAGTTAGTGAAACAGGTGGAACGAGATGGGTGCTTTTTCCTGCCTACCCATGGGCCAGAGCTAGCGTAGTTGAGAGCTTCTGTATCTCCACGGGAGAACTCTCCCGCTTGTTTATCTAAGTCCTACTTGTTAAATACAACAAAAAAAATAATTGTATAGATAAATAACTGTAATATATTATAAGTTACTATTATTATTGTTTGGAATCTCCAGGGATGATGTCGAGAAGGATGGAAATGGACGGAGAGGCGATGTTTTGCGTCAGGCAAGACATCATTGCTCCTGACGGAACGTCAACAAAGCTTCTCAGTTTTTGATGTGTGTGTGTGTGTGTTGCGTATGTTGCAGGTCACGTGATCCTGCTGACAATAGGACTTTGGCTGGTCCATTTGTATGTAAACCTTATAAATACGTTGTACATGAAATAATCTAGGATAGTTTACTTATCTACAGATATATATTAATACCGCCAAAATATATTAACCTTATAATCTACACTTGAATTAGCAGTCATGTGCACAAACTTCCTAAAACTGTAAAAATTAGGAAACGTCCAGTTAAGGCCCCGTGAGCTTCACCCTTGTGGGTTTGCCTCTTCAATAAACAGATATTGACCCTGGTTTTACAGGCACAGAGATATTGATATAATGCACCAAACAGTCGTATAACTAAGCAGTTGTTATACGAGTGGAAGGTCCAGGAGGGACCAGGAGGGTCCGGAAGGGACCAGGATGGTCCAGGAGTTCCAGGAGGACCAGGAGGGTCCAGGAGGTCCAGGAGGACCAGGAGGGTCCAGGAGGTCGCCTAACCTTCCCCCTACAACGTCTGGGTGAATTGTAAATTTTTCCACCCACTGAATTGTGGCTTTTGTTTACTCTTCAGTCATTTTTAATGCTCGATATGTTGTGTAAATATCAACTGTGATCAATGGCTTAGAAAACCCACAAGCTGAAGTCTGAGACACTTTTGAAACATCTGGTAATCTTTACTGATGAAACGTTTCGCCAGCCATTGGCTTCTTCAGTCCATTACCAAGAAGAACGGTAGAAATAGAGGAGTCTGAGGTAATCAGTCCCTTAGCCTGGAACCCATGAACACATCGACTACACACATACACATCTGCTACATACACAACATGTTTGTTCAGCGCAATATTTATCTGTCAGTATATTAGCTACTACAGCTGTGAAGCCGGTCTGGATGTATGAATTAGACATGACCTTTAAATGAGGTCCTTCTCAGCAGCTGAAGTGGAACTCAGGTTGAAGATATAGTCAACCTCTCCAGTTCTTGTTCTAGTCTTGTCTTCAGATTGTTTTCTCCTGTTTACACTGAGTGTTCATTATGCCATCAATAATGACTGGTGTTCAGTATACCTCCAACAGTGACTGGTGTTCATTATAACAACAGTGACTAGTGATTATTATAAGAACAGTGATATGTTCATTATACTAGCAACAGTGACTAGTGATGATTATAATACCAACAGTGTATGTACATTGTAACAACAGTGACTAGTGTACATTGTAACAACAGTGACTAGTGTACATTATAACAACAGTGACTAGTGATCATTATAACAACAGTGACTAGTGATCATTATAACAACAGTGACTAGTGTACATTATAACAACAGTGACTAGTGATCATTATAACAACAGTGACTAGTGTACATTATAACAACAGTGACTAGTGATCATTATAACAACAGTGACTAGTGATCATTATAACAACAGTGACTAGTGATCATTATAACAACAGTGACTAGTGATCATTATAACAACAGTGACTAGTGATCATTATAACAACAGTGACTAGTGATCATTATAACAACAGTGACTAGTGATCATTATAACAACAGTGACTAGTGTACATTATAACAACAGTGACTAGTGTACATTATAACAACAGTAACTAGTGTACATTATAACAACAGTAACTAGTGATCATTATAACAACAGTAACTAGTGTACATTATAACAACAGTGACTAGTGATCATTATAACAACAGTGACTAGTGATCATTATAACAACAGTGACTAGTGATCATTATAACAACAGTGACTAGTGATCATTATAACAACAGTGACTAGTGATCATTATAACAACAGTGACTAGTGATCATTATAACAACAGTGACTAGTGATCATTATAACAACAGTGACTAGTGATCATTATAACAACAGTGACTAGTGATCATTATAACAACAGTGACTAGTGATCATTATACAACAGTGACTAGTGATCATTATAACAACAGTGACTAGTGATCATTATAACAACAGTAACTAGTGATCATTATAACAACAGTAACTAGTGTACATTATAACAACAGTAACTAGTGTACATTATAACAACAGTAACTAGTGTACATTATAACAACAGTAACTAGTGTACATTATAACAACAGTAACTAGTGTACATTATAACAACAGTAACTAGTGTACATTATAACAACAGTAACTAGTGATCATTATAACAACAGTAACTAGTGTACATTATAACAACAGTAACTAGTGTACATTATAACAACAGTAACTAGTGATCATTATAACAACAGTAACTAGTGATCATTATAACAACAGTAACTAGTGATCATTATAACAACAGTAACTAGTGTACATTATAACACCAACAGTGACTGGTGCTCATAATATAAACACTGATATATACATAAATCTGAAAGGTAATGTGATACGGAGTGAGAAATCCTACAGTTGCACTTTGCTGATGACACTGTGCTTTTGGGGGATTCTGAAGAGAAGTTGCAGAGGTTGGTGGATGAATTTGGTAGGATATGTAAAAGAAGAAAATTAAAAATGAGCGAAGGAAAGAGCAAGGTGATGGAGAGTAACAAAAAACATTAGGCAACGAAAGATTGGATATTAGATTTGAAGGAGGAAGTGAATGTGTTCAGATATTTGGGAGTTGTGTCAGCAGATGGGTCTATGAAAGACGAGGTGAAACATAGCACTGACGAGGGGAAAAAGGTGAGTGATGCACTGAGGGGTCTGTGGATACAAAGAACTCTGTTTATGAAGGCTAAAAAGGGAATGTATGAGAGTATAGTGGTGCCATTACCTCTTTCATGGGTGTGAAGCGTGGGTGGTGAATGTTGCAACAAGGAGAAGGCTGGAGGCAATGGAGATGTCGTGTGTGAGGGCAATGTGTGGTGTGATTATTATGCAGAAAATCCATAGCTCAGGAGATTAAGAGGAGGTGTGGGGCTACTAATAGTATTATCCAGAGGGTTGAGGAGGTGTTGTCGAGGTGGTTTGGTCATCCAGAGAGAATGGAACAAAAGGAAATAACTTGAAGAGTGTATAAATCTGTAGTGGAAAGAAGATAGGGAAGGGGTTTTCCTAAAAAAAGGGAGGGGGTAAAGGTTTTGTGTGTGAGAGGCTTAGACATCTATCAAGCATGTATATGTTAAATAGGAGTGAGTGAAGACAAGTAGTTTTTATGTCTTCAAGTGCTGTTGGAGTGTAAGCAAGGTAATATATATGAAGGTATTTAGGGAAACCAGTTAGCCAGACTTGAGTCCTGGGGGTGAGAAACTACAGTTCCTGCACTCTGAAGGAAGGTTGGGGATATTTATATACTGGAAGGTCATATGAACTACCAGCATACTTCTGACAAACACTGACTAAATAACAGTGAAAGTGTTTTTTTCTTTGTCAGGTCACCTTGCCTCAGTGGGAGACAGTGTCTTAAAACACTACATATATATAATTCATAATAATCATAATAATAAATGCACCACTGCCTTTTGGACCGACAATTAAACATGTATTTTTGAAAGAACATTTTGGAACAGCAGAATTAAAGTTGTTGGAAAAAAAATTTAACTTTGACAATGTCTCTCTAGGTAAATAGCCCGAGCGCTCTGTAGCCCCTACGGGCTTACTGCTTCCCCTTAAGCATATTACTAGGGAAGAGGCCACTCACTTGTAAATTCTGTTCATAATATTCATATATATATATATTGTATGACTTCCAGCTGGAATGGAATCAACTGATATATATATATATATATATATATATATATATATATATATATATATATATATATATATATATATATATATATATATATATATATATATATATATATATATATATATATATATATATATATAATTGTAAATACTAGTAATGTCCTTCTTGCTTGTACCTGGCAATACCCAGGTGCCTGTGGGGTCCTGACGGGTTTAGTGCTTCACCATGCATGATCCCTATGGGTTTATAATAAGCTTTAAGTACTGAATGTTATGAGATTGTTAGGACTGTGAGAGACTCTCTGTGTCAAGTACACTTACATGTACACTTGTGCTCACACTTACACTTAAACTCACACTCACACTTACACTTACACTTACACTTACACTTACACTTACACTCACACTTACACTTACACTTACACTTACACTTACACTTACACTTGCACTCACACTTACACTTACACTTGCACTCACACTTACACTTACACTTGCACTCACACTTACACTTACACTTGCACTCACACTTACACTTACACCAGCACTCAAACTTACACTCACACTCACACTTACACTCACACTTACACTCACACTTACACTCACACTCACACTTGCACTTACACTCACACTTACATTCACACTCACACTTGCACTTACACTCACACTTACATTCACACTCACACTTACACTTACACTTACACTGACACTTACATTTACACCCACATTAACACTCACACTCACATTTACACTTACTTACACTTACAGTTACACTTACACTCACACTTGCACTCACGCTCACACTCACACCTACACTCCCACTCCCCCCCACACACACACACTACACATACACACACACACACACACACACATACACAAACACACACACACACACACTACACATACACATACACACATACACACACACTACATAGTTGAGCTCCAAGTGGAGAGAGTAGCAGGAATAGGCTGGGAAAAACCAAACTACAAAAGGGGGAACTACTCAGGCATGAGGAACTTCAAGACATTCAGTGGGAGAGGGAACTGACAGGAAAACCAGTACAAGAAATGATGGACTATGTAGCAACAAAATGCAAGGAGGCAGAGGAGAGGTTTGTTCCCAAGGGAAACAGAAATAATGGGAAGAACAGAACGAGTCCTTGGTTCACCCAAAGGTGTAGGGAGGCAAAAACTAGGTGTACTAGAGAATGGAAAAGGTACAGAAGACAGAGAACTCAGGAAAATAAAGAGATTAGCCGAAGAGCCAGAAACGAATATGCACAGATAAGAAGGGAGGCTCAGAGACAATATGAAAATGACATAGCATCAAAAGTAAAGACTGACCCGAAGCTGTTGTACAGCCACATCAGGAGGAAAACAACAGTCAAGGACCAGGTAATCAGACTGAGGAAGGGTGATGGGGAATTCACAAGAAACGACCGAGAGGTATGTGAGGAGCTCAACACGAGATTTAAAGAAGTATTTACAGTGGAAACCAGTAGGACTCAGGAAATCAGAACAGGGAGGTACACCAACAAGTGCTGGATGCGGTACACATAACCAAGGAGGAGGTGAAGAAGCTGCTGTGTGAACTTGACACCTCAAAGGCGGTGGGACAAGACAACATCTCTCTGTGGGTCCTTAAAGAGGGAGCAGAGATATTGTGTGAGCCATTAACAAAGATCTTCAATACATCCATTGAAACTGGACAACTCCCTGAGGTATGGAAGATGGCAAATGTAGTCCCAATTTTTAAAAAGGGAGACAGACATGAGGCATTAAACTACAGACCTGTGTCACTAACGTGTATAGCATGCAAAGTCATGGAGAAGATCATGAGGAGGAGAGTGGTGGAGCACCTGGAAAGAAACAAGTGTATAATCGACAACCAACATGGTTTCAGGGAAGGAAAACCCTGTGCCACAAACCTACTGGAGTTTTATGACAACGTGACAGAAGTAAGACAAGAGAGAGAGGAGTGGATCGACTGCATTTTTTTAGACTGCAAGAAGGCCTTCGACACAGTTCCTCACAAGAGGTTACTGCAAAAGCTAGAGGAACAGGCACACATAACAGGAAAGGCACTGCAATGGATCAGAGAATACCTGACAGGGAGGCAACAACGAGTCATGGTACGTGATGAGGTATTACAGTGAGCGCCTGTAACGAGCGAAGTCCCACAGGGGTCAGTCCTAGGACCAGTGCTATTTTTCATATATTGTGTATGGATTTGATGTATGTGAATGACATGATGGAAGGGCCATACTCTGAAGTGTCCCTGTTCTCAGATGATGTGAAGTTAATGAGGAGAATTAAATCATATGAGGATCAGGCAGAACTACAAAGAGACCTGGACAGGCTAGACACGTG